TATCCGCCTTGGTCCCAGTGATACCAGAATTTCATCTAGTCCCCTGGCTGGCTTGCCAAATCTGATACTGGAGTTTTAGGTTCTTGATTTCGGTGATTTGAAGAATAAATCTGCAGACCACAGATCAGTGGTAAGACAGAATTTATTTACAGAAAAGAATACAAAAGCACTAAAATTCCCAGTAGGGAGAGAAAACCCAAGTTGGGAGAGAAAAGCTCTGTTTCTTTCTCTGTCTCTCTCTGTTTAGTTATAGGTGCATTGGTTCTTTCTATATGAGGCCAGGAAATGAATGGACATAGTCCCTTCCACTGGGGCAAGATGAATGAATGTATTAATGAATGGACACAATCCATTCATGGAATCAAGGCCTAGGAAACTTACATGAAATTGAACTAGGCGTAGGAAGTGGTGGTTCATATTCAGTCATAAGTGCAAAGGGAAGGAGACACCAAGGTGTCTCCAAGGTGCTGGTGTCTCCCCAGCAGTTATCCATCGGGTCCCTTTGGCTACTGGAGCCACTGGTGAGGGAGGGAGGCTCCCCGCTCCTTGCCTACGCTCCAGCCTGCTGACTCCTCTGCCGGCTGCCACTGCACCAGCACCGCCAAGGCGGAGACGGTGGGTCCTTCAGCCCAGCTTGGCTGAGCTGGCTGGGGCGCCACCTGTGTTGGTTGGGGCACCATCTGTCCTGTATCACCAGGTCACCCACGTGGCTCATTTTTAAGATTAAAATCACCAGAACTGAACTTCTCAAACTATCGATGTACTGCGTGTTTGTCAGCAACATTTGTTGGTATTTTGAGCTATTTGAGCTGCACTGTTGCCATGACAAAACTCATAGTCAAAAACACCACCAATTTTTGACTTATCCATGGTTTCACAAAAATTACTGCCAAAAAAAACTGCAAGATAATGACAAGTCAAAATATGTGTTTGAAAAAATGTACCTTTACAATAGAAAAAAAAGGAAGTGTCAAAGTGAAATGTCAGTGATATCTACTAGCCAAGTTAGTACTTAAGGAAATAAGACATTTAATACTTAAAATGCAGGGCAGAGGGGCTACACACAATAATCCAGCAATGTAAAAAATAATAATAATAATAATCCAGCAATGTTTCACCTTCCCAAATTTGAGTTTTTGGATCTAAACTCTGCATTTGTGACCTGGAGAATTTAGGCCAGACTACAGAGCTCCCCATGTGGGTCAGCTTCTTTATACAATCTCTTTTATGGCTCAAGAGACAAGGAAGATCCTATCTACATGTGTTTTCTACAGTCAGGGGTTTTAATTTCAAATACGTAAAGTTTAATTTTAAATACCTACACAGAAACTTACACACATATTTCTCCCAAGAACAAGCAGTAACTGGCTGGCATTGAGCGGCCAAAAATCCAAATATAAAATGACTTTGAGGGCAATCCTTTGCTTATTATGTACAGCAATTTAGATTCTTGGAGGCATCATCTCTTGAAATAGTTACATAGGAGCCTCTTGGCTTTAATTTTACGTACCAGAGCCCTACTGGATAATTTTTCTGGAAAAAAAGGTAAAAATATAAGCCACAAAAGTAAGTGTTACTCCTGCCACTTAGTATAAATACGATTGCCAGAACTTTGAAATGTCAGAGTCGAAAAACATTAGGCTTTAGATGAAACCACGGTTACTCAGAGTAGTAAAGCCACATATTTACATGCTGACCAAAGTCTTAAGACCTTATATTTTCATGACTAATTTTAAATTGGGGGAAAAAAATTATGAATTCAAAAATTTTTCCTACCACTTTTTCACAGCATTTTTTCCTAACATTACTGTATACTTAAATTGAGTTAGGAATATCTACTAATTTAATAAGACTATGAGAAAACTGTGTTATAGAAGATATGGAAGACTCTCAAGAAGGTCTTTAATATGGATCCTGAAACTTCGACATCCTGAAAGAAAGGATGGGGATGAGGTGGATTGTTATTTTCATTACCTTTAAAATCCTCGTAGCTATAGTTTTACATATATAATTCTAAGATACGAAATGAAATTAGTGGATCTTCAGCTCCTCCTGTGTTATGCAGAAACCATACCACGATAATGACATAATGCTCTTCCTTACTCAAGAAGCATACATTTTACAGACTTGGGTAGAGCAAAGATTTGGTATTTTTGGTTGAAAAGACCTCAGTGGGCACCAGTTTTAGGATGAATACCAGGAGAAACTCCTGATTCTTCTAAAAGATTCCCCAAAGATAAGTGAAGCAAAAAAGCTAGTGGTAGTAACAGATAAAATTGGCAAAAGGCAGACAGCTTAATTTAAAATAATGAGAAGGTAAAGTCTCCTAGAATTCTAGGGGAATGCAAGGATTCGGTCAGTAATTGTTTTCTTTAGCACAGTCACTGGATATACTAAAATCTACAACCAGAGATTTGTAAAAGTATATTCCAAAACCTGGCCTGCTTTCAGAGCTCTACACAGGAGATGGGGCAAAAGCTGAGGTGGGGAAAGAAAGTCACAATCCAACTACACCCCCCTTTCCTCTGCCCCATCCTCACTCCCTTCACATGATCTCCTGTAGTAAGACTTTCCTGATCTACTTCCTGAGTGCCGGAATTTCCATTTCTTCACATCATCTTTTCCAAGGGAGACTTCACTACCCTCCTTCTTTGTTGTTATAATTGTGAAATGTCTACTGAGAAATAAGACTTATAAGGGAAAGGATTCAAAATATATCCATTTATGATTTTTAAACTATCTCTGATTAATAAACAAGTTTTTGATAATTGAAAATGGAAGATTTATAAATCAAGGAGGCAAAAAGAA